GAGCTCGTCGAGAGGCGTACTTGTCTCTAGCAGTCATAATAGAGTGCTCAGAGGGACTATGTACACCGCCTAGTTCTTCACCGATGCGAGCCATGGTTTGTAAGGCCAACTCGTAAAAGGTACAAATACCATCAACGTGGTCCAGTTCACTTAGTGCGGCCACCGTATCAGCAACAACCCTATCCTGATCGGGCGACATGATATTCATGGGAATGAACTTATACACTTTCCCTTCCTCGACAAGTGACTTGCACCAGGCGTCAGGCTCATCCACCAGAACCACGTTCACGCCGAGATCGTGGGCTCTTTCATAAATGAAGCGCTTGGCGGGATAACCCGTACCGAAGAACACTATAGTAGAGCCTCTCAGCAGTCTAAGGCGCAGGTCTTGCGACTGGGGCGTGTTGGCGGACAAAAGCTCCTTAGGAACTTTGGACAACATGGAGAAATCGGCATCAGGAAAAGGAGTAGAGGAAGCCGTCGAATGCACACTGCTATCATCGTTAGTATCTTCAGTGGTAGAGGTGGTAGAAGGTGCAGAGCACCGTGACTTGGGCGAAGCAGGAGGCGAGTTCGCAGATACCACAAAGTTTGATACCATAATTAGAACAAAAACGGAAAACTGAAGGAAAGAAATAAAGAGGAATTTGCAAACTTCGACGGTGTGCAGAACTTAACTACTTATAGTTTCATCTAAGCACTGAAATCCTCTGAAAAACACTCTCACTTAAGATGGCTGACATATCACAGGGCACAATAGACGCAATGCCTCCGACGCGTCGACAACGAACGAAGATGCCAAAGCCTTCCCTATGAAAAAGTTGAGAACAGTTTTCTAGCAGACACCGACACTACCGGTGGCTCGAGTCGGGTGGTGGCCTAGCGATGCGACACAGCGCAAGATGCTCCTGCGAAGAATTGAATCAGTTGCATCGTGTAACGTGCTCGTAATATTGGGTGGACATATAACTACGCAGTACTATACACATGACGGATTCTATGCTAACGGCTAGCAGCGTTACGTCATAAAAATTGAGGAAATTGAAGGTCGATCAAGACTTACAAGATCGTTACCACGGTCACACAAGGGCGGCAGCTGCTGCGCGCGCCCGAATTTTTACTCCTTGCACCCTCGAAATTCCTTGATCCACCCACAAATTTTCAAAAGGGCGCCCTGCGATATCGTTTTATCGTGTGTCAATTTATGAGCCGCATGGTCTTCTGCATGTTGATCTTTGACCCTCTCTGGATCCTGGTTCATTATCAGCTACTTGTCATCTGTCACGTCTTCGCGTAGTGGCCACTGGACAGAATACTGTCCTGGTTGAACGTCAACCTTGTCTGATTGTATCCTTCTGCCAGTCGTTGACTACTGCCTTAGGAATCCTGTTGTATTATGACTAACGCAAGTAGACCTTTTAGATAGAGACATGCTTCCATCTAATTGATGTTTCTCATTCAAAGTTTGAATTTCAAACAATACAATTTCAATTAATCTCGTAGCCGCTTCCGCATTGGAGGGGTCGCAGTTGGTTCGCTTGCCAGTTGTTCATGACTATGCTCAGCGTCTTGGTCCATCAGCCCCTCATCGCCTTCTCCGTCTTGGCCCATCAGCCCCTCATCGCCTTCTCTGTCTTGGTCCATCAGCCCCTCATCGCCTTCTCTGTCTTGGTCCATCAGCCCCTCATCGCCTTCTCCGTCTTGGCCCATCAGCCCCTCATCGCCTTCTCTGTCTTGGTCCATCAGCCCCTCATCGCCTTCTCTGTCTTGGTCCATCAGCCCCTCATCGCCTTCTCCGTCTTGGCCCATCAGCCCCTCATCGCCTTCTCTGTCTTGGTCCATCAGCCCCTCATCGCCTTCTCTGTCTTGGTCCATCAGCCCCTCATCGCCTTCTCCGTCTTGGCCCATCAGCCCCTCATCGCCTTCTCTGTCTTGGTCCATCAGCCCCTCATCGCCTTCTCTGTCTTGGTCCATCAGCCCCTCATCGCCTTCTCCGTCTTGGCCCATCAGCCCCTCATCGCCTTCTCTGTCTTGGTCCATCAGCCCCTCATCGCCTTCTCTGTCTTGGTCCATCAGCCCCTCATCGCCTTCTCCGTCTTGGTCCATCAGCCTCTCATCGCCTTCTCTGTCTTGGTCCATCAGCCTCTCATCGCCTTCTCCGTCTTGGTCCATCAGCCCCTCATCGCCTTCTCCGTCTTGGCCCATCAGCCCCTTATCTCCTTCTCTTTGGTTCAATGGGCCCCCACAGTTATCCGCACCTCGGTCCACAGGTGTTGGCCATTGCCAATCATGGCTGACGATTATCGAAGTAGATGAGCCTCCCGTATCTTCTATCATTGATTGGCTGCAGCCTTGGGCAAGCTGTTGTACATTCTTGCGATGGCGACGCCTTGTGCCAGACGTTGCGACTGTGGCATACCGCGGTACTGGGTGACCAAGTTGGAGTGCATCATCAACACGGCCACCGGTTGCTGTATGGGCAGACTGATGAAATCGTTTCAAGACTTTGGCAGAATTCGGAAGAGATGGGGAGTTAGGCAGCTGTAGGAAAGATACCAATCCCATTCTCCTTGATTCATGCTGCTCGTCTATTTGCCAGGCTGAAGTTGAGTCATACCTGAAGTTCGTTGAACAAGAAGCATATCAACTTGACATTATGTCACCTTGGTTTCCCCTCAGGCGACCCTCCCGGTAAGGTGAACTCTTTCCAATTGTATCCTTTCAGCTTGTTCTCGAGCAGGTATACTCCTATGACATGCTTGCAGACTCCAGTTCGACCTTGTGGACAGGTGCACTCGTAATGAGGTTTGCACCGCTCAATGACAAAGATGTTTCTCATCAGGTATTGGAGCTCATCCCATGATTCCCAAGCTTCAGTGGAGTCGCTCTCATACTTCACCTCAAATTCGCTGATAACTCTCTCGAGCTCACTCGATCCTTCTCTACAACCCGTGACGAGCTGATGCGAAGGTAAGTAGTATCTGGTCTGAGCCTCGTTGATCCAGATATTCTTAGCAGATTTGGTTCGGGTCCACTTTCCACCCTCGATCGCATATTTGCGCTCCAGCTTCCCGTCGTCGTTGAAGGCTCGAAGATTGGCCTCAATTCTCCTGCCGTAATCAGTGCAGACTTGCATGAGCTCGGCCGTTAGGGCCGCTATTGAAGTCCCTTTTTCTATGATGCCTACATGACTGAGCAATGCAATTTGTATAGGCTCTCGAGATCTATTACCATGTTTCAGTGCGTGATTAACGGCCTCGCACGCATTATTGTTTCTTGCAATATAATTTGGGACCTGGTGAGATCAGGTTGGTGTATGATATTGGTACTTTTAATGATATTGAGATATGTTTATAATTCAAAAATTAATAGATAATACATTATTAGATATCATATGAATATATCAAACGCTTCATAGACAAGTTTAGTGTATGATATCAATGTATACTAGATCTAATTCTATGAATCTGGTATTATCAAATCTAGCTATCTTTTGTTTAGGTATTTAATTCTAAGATAAAGTATATTTTCAGTTATATGGCAGTATTGATATTAAATCGTGTTATACTATATGTTTTTCATGTCGTGTGTTTATAATGCCGTCACTTTATATATTGATGATGATCTGATCATCATATCCAACTATGTCCACCACGAATATATGAGAAAGTGTATATCAAGAACACTATACTTTTATTACTACTCAATAATATTAATATTAATAATAATTTTATTTGTATATTTCAATAGCATGAAGGGATAATAGCTATCTTGATAGATCTAACGATATACTTCTAGCTAATTATTATTTCCTAAACATCTGACCGTTTTGTAACATCTTTGTTAGTTAGCGTAATAATCTAAATGATCTCTAATCTATTAGAATTAGTAATGTCTTTGATTATTGATGATTATAACTAGTTCAACGTCCAATATATTTTAATGTCACAATGACTATTCTTGGATATTAAAAGGTATGATGAGGCATTAAATAGTATATGAATTATATATAATATACCGAGAAGTCTGATAACAAATTCATGACAAATTTAGTGATTATTATCTTATCAGGTACCGAAGTAATAGGTAGCTGAAAATGCGGGAGGAAATCAATAGGTCAATATGTAGCACTGATAGCTAATGACAGATGGCTCTAGGCTCACGTTGTCAGGTATTCCTTGCCCCCACATGCATTTGTGGAACATCCAATTGTTTTTGAAGTACTCCACAAGCTCTTCATGATGTGAAGCCCAGGCAGTGGTCATGAGCTTGCAGGCGATCCCGAAATGTCGTTCCGTTGGCATGTTCTGAATCGTAGCTACTGCCGTTCTGAAGCTCTTCTTCTGTCTGTCGGCCCAGAGCTTCTCGGCTGCATTTGTAGCCTTGATATGGGCGTTCATCTTCTTGTTGATGTTATCCCTGAGATGCACATGGCAGTGAATTCGGACATTCTTTGGTGTGGGAATGCCGCCGTGTTGAGTTGGCTTGACGAGACGGTAGTTTTCGTCAAGCATATCCGGGACACATTTGCCGTGTACCTGACATGGGCTTTCACCTTGAGTGTGTTGTGTTGTCACTCACAGCTTCGAAGGCTGCCGTAAAGCATCCTGCTGCATCAGCTACGATGATAAAAGGGGCGTGGATGAGTGACAACCGTTGACACCAGTCGCTGATTGCCCTCATCCCAGCTTCGACATGAGCACCATCTTCTCTGCTGCTGTATCCCACCGCGAGGAGCTGAAAGCTCCCTCGCCTCCCATGGGAGCCCAGCAATAGCGTTGGCATGCCAACCCAGTCCAGATTGTGAGTATAGTCCCCCACTAAGATAGGGGAGTCTGCATGGTTGCGAAGGAGAGCCATGCAGCTGAAATACGCATAATATTCGCCCTCTGGGCTGAGGGATGAAGCTAAGCAAAAAGCTTGTGAGTCGTTCTGTGGAGGGCTGGGAAGACCCTGCACATACTCTCTCAACTCGTAGAATGATTTACCAGGACCATGTCGTCCGTCGTGGTTCTTTTGACGTGTGGCGTACCTTCGATTATACACCTGCTTGCGAACCTGATCGGATGGTTCGGCAAGCTCGAGTTGATCAAGCGTGCGCATGGTTTTCCAGGGTGGCACGCCATCCATAGCATGTGAGTCGACGACTTCAATGGCAGCCGAGCTCAATGGGGGAAGTCGTTCTACCGCTTCTGGTAACCGTTCATGTTTGAGATGATCAGTAGGAACCTCAAGTTGGAACCCCTCAGATTGACAGGAAATATTGACTGTCCATCGGCATCGATGCCAACCGGCCTTATCACCGAAAGGGCACCGGTAAATCAACACCTTCTCGTTGCCAGACCTCACTTGGGTATCTTTCTTACAAAGTTTGGCGACGTCGGATCCGGCAAGGCTGATGGCCTCCTTGAGCGCCGCCTCTAGAGTATCGAAGGGACCATGCTGAGACCGTTCTTGTTTACGAACACGTTTAATAGGACTGGCCTTTGGGGGGAAGGGAATGATACCAGCTCGCGAAGTGTACAACGATGAAGAGCGAACCACCGTGATTGGGCTTTGGAATCGGAAACGATTGCAGTCAGACATATGGTTGGTGTAGCAGTAGAGCACTGAACTGTCTTGGGAATAGTTGTGGGTTCAATCTCTATCGCATCCTCAACGGCTAATATGCATTCAGCCTGATAGGAGAATGCATATGGCCGCTGGATTTATCGAATATCAGCCTCCCGTCTTCAGTTTTGGAATTTACTAACACTTAGTCTAACACTTATACGCAACACTTCACGTCTGCTCTCCCCTAGATGAACAAGGGGTTTCCGTTCACTGAACGGCGTGCAAATTTTGCACTGCAAAATGGCTGGTATGGCAGTGTATAAGTACAGGTATATTACACCAGGTGACCTGGTGTAATTCATCACAAGACTGATGTAGTATCGATCAGATTGAGTCGATCTGATTGACGTAGCGACTGGCAAGACTAGTGAACGTCTCAGCGACGGAGAAGGGCTGAGAAGAGGGAGACAGCAACATAAGAAGATGAGGGACAGGGATAGTTACCTATGCTAGTCGGGTGTTAGGTGCTGAGACCTCCGATTGGAAGATTCATACACATATACTGAAAATGGCTGTAGAGAGGCATTATGTGTGCGCATGCGTGCAGCCGTTTCACGTTTCGGGGTGCGAGATGGGAGAGAGTTTTTGCGAGTAGGAGATTGCTATAACGGAACCCATTCACCAGGTGGATTCCACCCTATAGACTGCTGTCAACCGTCGAATTCGCAGCGTGTATGTCAATGTCTATGCAGCATATCATGCGCCCCAAAGTACTTCCCCCCGAAAAATCTCGGCCGCCCTTAAAATAGTGAATGCGTGCCAGAGAGTTGAATCCATCTCTAAAGAACATTCCAGTGAAGAGGGGAGTCCACTACAGACAAAATTGGTAAGTTGCATAAGATGCAAAGCTGCATCCACCACTATAAGATTTACTATCCCGACCACATGATCAAGAAATGATGCGGAGGCGCCTTGTGCAGCGGAGGACCTCTTGAGAAGGCGCCGATCCAGCTCGGAGGCTGCAGAGTTGAATCCACCTCTACAATTTTTACTATTCCTACCACAAGACAAAGAAATGATGTGGAAACTGACGATTTGTGCAGGGGAAGACCTCTCTGTGAGGCGCCGATCCGGCTCGAAGGCTGCAGAGTTGAATCCGCCACTATAAGATTCACTATCCTAACCACATGATAAAGAAATGATGTGGAGTTTGATGATTTGTGCAGTGGAGAACCTCTTTAAAAGCTGCCGATCTGGCTCAAACGCCACAGAGTTGCATCCGCCACTATAAGATTCACTATTCCGACCACAAGGCAAAGAAATGATGTGGAAACTGACGATTTGTGCAGGGGAGAACCTCTTTAAAAGCTGCCGATCTGGCTCAAACGCCACAGAGTTGCATCCGCCACTATAAGATTCACTATTCCGACCACATGATCACGAAATGATGTGGAAACTGACGATTTGTGCAGGGGAGGACCTCTCTGTGAGGCGCCGATCCGGCTCGAAGGCTGCAGAGTTGAATCCACCTCTACAATTTTTACTATTCCGACCACAAGACAAAGAAATGATGTGGAAACTGACGATTTGTGCAGGGGAAGACCTCTCTGCGAGGCGCCGATCCGGCTCGAAGGCTGCAGAGTTGAATCCACCTCTACAATTTACTATTCCGACCACAAGATGAAGAAATGATGTGCAAACTGACGATTTGTGCTGGGGAAGACCTCTCTGTGAGGCGCCGATCCGGCTCGAAGGCTGCAGAGTTGAATCCACCACTACAAAATTTACTATCTCGACTACATGATAAAGAGATGATGTGGAAAGTGACAATTTCTGCAGGGGAGGACCTCTTCAAAAGGCGCCGATCCGGCTCGAAGGCTGCAGAGTTGCATCCACTACTATAACATTCGCTACTAGATAAAGAAATGGTGTGGAAACTGACGATTTGTGCAGGGGAAGACCTCTCTGTGAGGCGCCGATCCAGCTCGAAGGCTGCAGAGTTGAATCCACCACTATAAGATTCACCATCCTAACCACATGATAAAGAAATAATGTGGAGTTTGATGATTTGTGCAGTGGAGAACCTCTTTAAAAGCTGCCGATCTGGCTCAAACGCCACAGAGTTGCATCCGCCACTATAAGATTCACTATTCCGACCACATGATCACGAAATGATGTGGAAACTGACGATTTGTGCAGGGGAGGACCTCTCTGTGAGGCGCCGATCCGGCTCGAAGGCTGCAGAGTTGAATCCACCTCTACAATTTTTACTATTCCGACCACAAGATGAAGAAATGGTGTGGAAACTGACGATTTGTGCAGGGGAAGACCTCTCTGTGAGGCGCCAATCCAGCTCGAAGGCTGCAGAGTTGAATCCACCACTATAAGATTCACTATCCTAACCACATGATAAAGAAATAATGTGGAGTTTGATGATTTGTGCAGTGGAGAACCTCTTTAAAAGCTGCCGATCTGGCTCAAACGCCACAGAGTTGCATCCGCCAATATAAGATTCACTATTCCGACCACATGATCACGAAATGATGTGGAAACTGACGATTTGTGCAGGGGAGGACCTCTCTGTGAGGCGCCGATCCGGCTCGAAGGCTGCAGAGTTGAATCCACCACTATAAGATTCACCATCCTAACCACATGATAAAGAAATAATGTGGAGTTTGATGATTTGTGCAGTGGAGAACCTCTTTAAAAGCTGCCGATCTGGCTCAAACGCCACAGAGTTGCATCCGCCACTATAAGATTCACTATTCCGACCACATGATCACGAAATGATGTGGAAACTGACGATTTGTGCAGGAGAGGACCTCTCTGTGAGGCGCCGATCCGGCTCGAAGGCTGCAGAGTTGCATCCGCCACTATAAGATTCACTATTCCGACCACAAGGCAAAGAAATGATGTGGAAACTGACGATTTGTGCAGGGGAGAACCTCTTTAAAAGCTGCCGATCTGGCTCAAACGCCACAGAGTTGCATCCGCCACTATAAGATTCACTATTCCGACCACATGATCACGAAATGATGTGGAAACTGACGATTTGTGCAGGGGAGGACCTCTCTGTGAGGCGCCGATCCGGCTCGAAGGCTGCAGAGTTGAATCCACCTCTACAATTTTTACTATTCCGACCACAAGACAAAGAAATGATGTGGAAACTGACGATTTGTGCAGGGGAAGACCTCTCTGCGAGGCGCCGATCCGGCTCGAAGGCTGCAGAGTTGAATCCACCTCTACAATTTTTACTATTCCGACCACAAGATGAAGAAATGATGTGCAAACTGACGATTTGTGCTGGGGAAGACCTCTCTGTGAGGCGCCGATCCGGCTCGAAGGCTGCAGAGTTGAATCCACCACTACAAAACTTACTATCTCGACTACATGATAAAGAGATGATGTGGAAAGTGACAATTTCTGCAGGGGAGGACCTCTTCAAAAGGCGCCGATCCGGCTCGAAGGCTGCAGAGTTGCATCCACTACTATAATATTCGCTACTAGATAAAGAAATGGTGTGGAAACTGACGATTTGTGCAGGGGAAGACCTCTCTGTGAGGCGCCGATCCAGCTCGAAGGCTGCAGAGTTGAATCCACCACTAT